GTATTAAATTTATTATATTTGTATAACTATATTTCATGTTTAGGGTGAAGTTTAGTAAGTTATTTTAGTGTCTTTGATGCAAAAAAAAAAAAGGCGATGAACGTGGAGCTCCAGTCCAGCTGTGGACAGGTGGACCGAGTCGGACCGAGCCGCAGTTTGAGAGAGGAGCTCAAAGGCAGAGATGGAGGAAAAACAGTCAGAGTCAGAGTGAGGACTTTGATGAGGAAGCAGGTGATCCACTATTTCAATTATAAGAGGGAAGAGAAGAAGATCGAGCACTGAGCAGACTTTACGGGGGAAATCTTCGTCCCGTTACCGGTCTGCCYGGGCAGACGGTGCGGCGCTAACTGGATGCTAACAACACGAACAGCTGATGAAAGCACACAAACAACGGGAGGTGRAGAACRTTTTATTCAGCGGGTGGATCCACAACCTCGGTACCAAACAGCTCCACAATGATTATCGTTTGTTTTTTTGTCAGGGTGAGTGTTTGTTCTGATATTGTTTTATATGTTAAGATAATGCTAGCAGTAGCGGCTAACATCAACAAACTTCCAGCACCTAACGACACAGAACTAGGGCAGCCTAAAGTCCAGATGAAGTCCACATTAAACTACCAGTAACTTAATACTCACTACTAAATAAACGATCATTATAAACAGAACCTCTAAAACAGCAGCTAGCATACCTCTGATGTAGTGATCGCTGCCTGCAGACACCGACATCATTCTGCTCCTCCCGACCACAGACGCTTTAAAATCCACTTTTTACGTTGTCGTTCTGTGAGCTTTCTACATTTTTCATCTTTGTGTATGATAATCAGTGTTGTCATATGTTGTTATAGGGTTGGGCAGATTCGTGTGGAATTATTCATCAGATAAACTTTTGCTGGTTATTATTTGGCACTTGGTGATGTAAGACATGTGTGGTACCGACGGTCTCAGCAAATCTTTAGGTTCTGTCGAAAACTCATTCAACTTCATCATATGAGTCATGTCTGACATATTTGTGAACAAATTCTTGTTATATATCTTGAAATAGGATCTAAATCCATACAATATAAACTCTCTACAGTAGTTTCCTCCATAGACATTTTACCCCTGCCCTCCAGCGGAGATCGCCTTCGAAACCACGTGACTGAAACCCAGCTATTGTGCTTGACGCGCAACCACCATAGACTTTGCATGTAAACCTGATGCTGAAATGGTGTTCGGTGTGAACGCAGCATAAAACGTCCTGGTAGACGGCTGTGTTCAACTTGGACCTCAGAAAACACAYTGGACCAACACCAGCAGATGACATGGACCCAAACCATCACTGACTAAACTTTACACTGGACCTGAAGCAACGTGGATTCTGTGCCTCTCCTCTCTTCTTCCAGACTCTGGGACCTTGATTTCCAAAGGAAATGCTAACTTTACTTTCATCAGAGAACATAACTCTGGACCCCTCAGCAGAAATCCAGTCCTTTTTGTCTTTAGTCCAGGTGAGACACTTCTGACTCTGTCTTGTTCAAGAGAGTCTTGACACAAGGAATGAGACAGCTGAAACCCAAGTCTTTATACATCTGTTTGGTGGTTCTGAAGCTCTGACTGCAGCTGCAGTCCACTCTTTGTGAATCTCCCCCACATTTTTTATGGGGTTTTGTTCACAATCCTCTCCAGGGTGKGGTTATCTCTGTTAATTGTACACTTTTTTTCGACCACATCTTTTCCTTCCCTTCYCCTCTCTATTAATGTGCTTGGACARAGAGCTCTGTGAACAGCCAGCCTCTTTAGCGATGACCTTTTGTGTCTTGCCCTCCTTGTGCAAGGTGTCGATGGTCGTCTTTTGGACAACTGTCAAGTCAGCAGTCTTCTCCATGATTGTGTCACCTAGAACTAGACTGAGAGACCATTTAAAGGTCTTTGCAGGTGTTTTGAGTTAATTAGCTGATCAGAGTGTGGCACCAGGTGTCTTCAATATTGAACCTTTTCACATTGTTTTAATTTTCTGAGATACTGAATTTGGGGTTTTCATTAGTTGTCAGTTATAATCATCAAAACTAAAATAAACATTTGAAATAAATCAGTCTGTGTGTAATGAATGAATATTGTGGCTGTGTCCAAAACGGCAGGACGGGTCCTCCGAAGGTCGAATTTGTCGGCCGCATACGTCACAGCGCCGCGACGAAGGACGTCCAAAACGGAAGACTCCTCCGATGCGTCCGACAAATACGTCCTTCTTTTTCCCCGAATCGAAGGACAGGTCCGATGGATCCTTCCCAGCCCAGCATATCCCATGTTGTGGAATACTGATTATGTATCACCTTGACACTGTCCAATTGTTCATATC